AACTGATCAGTTTCAGCAGCGGCTGAATCTGGACGCCAGTTCCGACTTACATACAGATTCAACTTAAGAACAAACCTACAGTCCCTATCTTGTACGTAACCCGGGGACTGCCTGTATTACCCAAAAGAGCAAAATGACTGACCAAGTATTATTATTTTATGAACTACAACTGGTTACTAACATAGCAAAAGCGTCTTAATTGGTTAATAACTTAGATCAGTTAATAATTAAATCACAGTGTTTTAATATAATGTGCTGCTATGACTCCCACCCCGGGACACGAGGCTGACCAGTGGCTTACCGTGAAAGGCTGGGAGTCAAAGTTTGCTGACCCCGATCAACAATGTCAATGTATTAGATATTCAGTTCAATTGCAAAACACAGACTATATAAAAAGAACACTAACTTAAAAAAAAAAAAAAAATAGATCAGGACCAGCATTTAAATGACAAGTAAAAGAATAATAATTTGGCACACAACACTGCTCAGCAAATCTGCAAAATATTCCACATCAGCAGACTCCAATGGAAGTCATTGGTTGTTCTGTGACGGCAGAGCGGTCTGTCTCATGGAACACCTTGTTAGGATCAGAGCCTTCATTTGCAAGCAAATGTAAGGAAGTAATGTATAAACTGATGTTAGAAGATGAGGAGGCTATGAGGGTAATGAGGTAAAATGTTTACATCCTATAAATCTGCAAAATATTCCACATCAGCAGACTCCAATGGAAGTCATTGGTTGTTCTGTGACGGCAGAGCGGTCTGTCTCATGGAACACCTTGTTAGGATCAGAGCCTTCATTTGCAAGCAAATGTAAGGAAGTAATGTATAAACTGATGTTAGAAGATGAGGAGGCTATGAGGGTAATGAGGTAAAATGTTTACATCCTATATGTAAAGGATAGGATATTTTTAAAATCTGAATAGTGGACCAGAATAATGCATGTATTGCAATGATTAGGTCAGGGAAAAGCTGTGCATTTCACCCAAATTAAACCAATATAACTACATTTAAATTTGTGGATCATAGAAGACACTTAAGGTCACAATTTTCAGAAGTGACCAGTGATTTTGTAGGTCTAACTTGAGGCACTCTACGGCATGGGTGGACAAAAGGGCCTCCATGGGCTGGATCCTACCTGCCAAGTGGGTTGATCCGGCCCGCTGCTCCCCCACTCCCAGGCCAAATAGGCCCTGGGGGCGGGAGAGCGCACAAAACTTCCAAGCACACGAAACTTCCAAGTGCTATGTGTTCCTCGCAGGATGGGAGGAGACGTCTCATGCTCCCCCACCCCCAAACCCTGATTGGCCTGAGGGAGGGGGAAGCGCAAAGCCTCCTCCCACCCTACGAGGAGCACGCGGCACTTCAAAGTACCTCATGCTCCTCGCAGTGCGGGAGGAGGCTTTGTGCTCTCCTCTGCCCCCAGGCCAATTAGGGCCAGAGGGGCTGCGTGAAGCTTCCTTTGTCCTGCCCCCGCTCTGCGCAAGTGTATAGCACTTTGGAGTGCAGTGCGCTCCTGATTGGCCTGGGGGTGGAGGATCATAGGAAGCCAATTACCGCTCTGCCAGGGGCATAGGTGCCTAGTGGGAAGGGGGGGCAAAGAGGCTGCCCCACTCCCAGACCAATTATGGTCTGGGAGTGGGGTAGCCCAGAAGCATCCTGGCCCTGCCCCCTTCCGGTTTAGGCCCCGCTCCTTCTGGGCGGCCCAGGTCCACTTCAAAAATTTGGCCCCAAATTATTGCCCACCTCTGCTCTACAGGCATCTAATTTTCAGAGGTCAGGTGCGTAGCACTTCCTGAAAATCAGGCCACTTGCAGGGGCCTTGACTTGGCCACCCAAAGTTGCTATTAACTTGAAAATCTTGACCTTAAATCTCCAATCTGTTCCTTTCTTTTCCCCATTTTGTATTTTTGACTTTATAGTAATTTCCTTTTATGTTCTTTTATAGTAGAAATGTTAAAGTTTGGCCTCCAAATATCCAGGTTTCTTTATAAGCACTTGGGAAAAAAAAACCACAATCACCCTCAACTACTAACGCAGAACAGGTTTGAAAATAGGTTCTGTCAATTTGGGGAAGAGGAATTATTCAGTGACCATTCTTTCTTTGGAGTTTTTTGCTCCAAGGCGGTTTTCCCATGATTTCTTTATTGACTGCACTTATGATCCATAAGCAGTGACTCTGAGGGATGATGCAGAATGCTGCCTTCCATTTGGCAAGAATGTATCTCGTGCAAGAATGAGAACCAGAGAACTCACACTGCTAAGCTAAGGAAGTTAAGCTTTCATGATGAGAGCAGATGGTTATGCAATGTGGGAGATTCTAGTGTCTTAAACTACTGCATATTATGCCAAGGTTAACAACTAATTTTCAATAGCTACCAACAAACTTTCCAGAAGTATTGAAAATAAAAAGTAGAAAAAAAGCTGTGAAAATGATTTTTTTTTTTTTTTTGGCTATAGCCATACATACACACCTGTCATCTTTTCAAAAGAAAAGGCTAAAAAATACTATCTAAATGGGGGTTAGGTCACCTTCCTGTTCCAAAGTTAAGTAACATTTTGAAATTTTTAAAAAAAAGAAAGTAAATTAAATATAATTAAGTCAAGATGAAAATATGATAAAAACATACTTTTGGAAAAAAAAACTTTCAGGTTAGTGTTGCTAACATGAAGAAGGACTGCAGAATCAGACAAGAACAAAGAGACACTCAGTGCATTTAGAATATTACTACATTGCATAACTGATTAGTTTGAGTAATTCATTGCTGCAGGTTAATGCCTCAGGCTGTGACTACATTTTTTTTTTTTACCATGGCTAGATAACTTAATTTTCTGCTGAATATGTATAGCTATGCAAGCTAAGATAAACATGCTCAAATCTCAGGTTTAGGTTGTGATGTTAAGGAGGATATTTACCCCACATTTAGTTGGTGGACGATATGGGCTCTATTTTACCCTTTGAAGTAAATTTGATCACTGATGTAGTATACTGGACTAGATGGACCAATGGTATGGTTCTCCATGATATACGTCTGTTCCCGATACATATTGTAGCATCTATAGATTAACCTTCAAGTGCCATACATTTGTAGAGATTAGTTATATTTATACAGAAATTTATACAGAAATCTTTCATGGACACACAACTAATGCACTTTTTCTCCTCCTGCAGCTACAAAGGAATATTTTGGCATCTAACCCCAGAGTCACAAGATTCCACATTAACTGGGAGGACAACACTGAAAAACTGGAAGATGCAGAGAGTAGTAACCAAAATCTACAGTCACTTCTTTCTACAGATGCATTACCTTCAGCATCAAAGGGATGGTCAACATCAGAAAATTCATTAAATGTCATGTTAGAATCTCATATGGACTGCATGTGACTGCCATCGTTTTGATACTATACATGTGTTAAGCTATAAAAACAACCAGAACTATTTGCCTGAAATTCCTTAAGTACATAGTCAACAAACAACATGAAGAAATTGTTTTAAAACATCCTGTAGAAAGTTTGTAAGAAAAAAAACAGTATTTGAGCAAATTGTGGAATATAAATACAACTATTTTTAAGTAGTTCTTTTTTCTCTAATGTGTTATTTTATTTGCTCTAAACTGAATCTGATTAAAGCATATATATTATTTTTCTCTTTCTCTGTAAATACAATTAAAAACATAGAAAACAGAAAGTTAAAAATGCTCAAGCACAGATGGAATAGTGAGGACTTTGGCTCATCGCTAATAACAATAATGCTGAATACAATTTCATTGTCCTTTAATAACAGGTTGTCTTTCGACAAAATGCAAAGAAAGGGGGGAAGTGATCTTTACAAAATAATCCTAAAATGTCCTCTACAGTGAAAATAGCACAGTACAATTTTAGGTGCAAATGTCTATGCCTTTCAAGGCACATACTTGTTACTTAAAGCATGCAATTTGAGATCTACCATCTGCTATCTGGGATTTTAGGATGTGACTTTTTTTATCTCCTGCTGCTATTTAGTCGTGTCATATAAGTCTGTTAAGAACAATGTTTCATTTGGAGTAGGCGGGCACAGCAAAGAACTCTCTTTCAACCATGCTAATAGCTTGCACAATTGGTTGAAAGGTTTCAAGCAATTACAAAGTTTTTAAACTTCAAAAGGAATAGCATGAATACTTACTAAGAAAAAAACTGCTCCCCGTAGGATTATGATGTTTTATAAAAGCCTTTTTATTCATGTAGTCTGTTTAGATACTTAATAACAGGTTGAAGTGCTTCATCCTACCATAGCTTCATAAAACACCTTGGGCTTAAGACATTTATGTACACAATTTTATTATTTTTGTATTGGATGAATATTTCCTCAGTGTACAATACAAAACTGTATTTAGGAAGAACTCACTGAGGCTGTATGCTTGAAGATGGACTGGATGGCATTAGTCACCCTGCTGCCCTGACAGAATATGGCCCCATCTCATACTAGTATCCATTATGATGAGTAGAAAAACCTCTGTGAAACAAGTTCATGTAAGGTGAAGGCCAGAGAAGAGAAATTATGTCCACTACGAACAGCTTCTCAAAATCTTCAGAGAAGTAATCTTTCCTTTCTTCCAGAACAATGCAATAGAGTGCCTGACACTCCTGATATCAATGCTTGAGACAGGTCACCTCTCCATCCTCACACTCCTAGGCAAAACCATGCAGCACATAAACTCCAACATCACAGAGCACCTGCCAATATGGTGGATTTTTCACAACTGGTCTTCAGGCCAAGGCAAAGTACAGAGTCAGCCCTAGTGACACTAAAACAGAGGGAGCAGCTAGAGGCTCTCTCTCTCAGTCCTGATGCTACCTGACCTCTATGCAACTTTAATTACAGCTAACCTGATACATGACAGCTTGAGTGGACAAGGCAGGGCTACAAATCTAGCACCGAAAAGTGATAACAGGATAACCTACTCTTCCCACCAACTAGCCCTCATCTGTAGAGTCCCAGGGGGATCTATGCTATGTCCCCCTCTCTCCTCAGTATCTACATGGGACACCAATAAATCAATGACACCTTGTTGTGCATTTCTGGATGCAGCTAATCACCATCACAAGGATGTCATATGCCTCATAGAAATGACTTGTATGAAAAGGAGTTATCCTAGCAGACAAGGTAGCATTGCTGATGTATAACTCCCTCTTTTACCTTTCAGTTCGCTAGGAAACTTTGTCCCTATCTCCTAGGTAAAAATATGATCATATCCACACATGTGTCATCTTCAGACTGAAAAGAACACAGCTCACTGTATTTGGATCTAAAGATAGCAGGAAGGTGGAGGCCCCAAATCATACCTAATATGGTTACTCTCACTCCCATTGTAATAAGCTGCTGTGATCCAAATACTCCACTAGTTTGCACGGACAATTCAAGACCTTAATCATGATCTTCAATGTCATTGGTAGATCAAGACCAGCTACATTATATATTACATCTGCATTCATAACCTACTCAGACAACTTTTATGTAGCACAATGTACCTCAAAAACCCCATAAAGAATGTGTGAGCTTGGGGACACCATATTCTGGTGCACAGGTAGAGCTCTGCACTGTCACAAAATCTGTCTGCGTCTCTATCTGCACAAATGAGCTGCAGATATCTGCATCCATATGTGCAGATTAAGGATGTTAGATTTTGATAAATCAGCTATTTGAGTAGTCAATGGAATTTCCATCGACTACTAGATTAGGCAATAAAGAGGGCGCACCCTATCCCGCTGCACCTCTCCCTTTGAAATGCCCAAGAGTCGCTTGTGGCGCTTGTATATTTCAAAGGGAGAGATGCAGTGGGTTCATTGCCTTTCTACCTTTGAAATGTACAGAAGCCACCTATGGCTCCTGTACATTTCCAAGGGAGAGGAGCAGCAGTAGGACAGGTGAGAGCAGAACTGTTTCAATTTCTGTTCGCGCTGTTTCCCTGCTTCCCTCTGCCTCCTGTGGAGATGGTGTTGGGGGGAACTGGCTTTTAAGCTGGCTCCCCTCAGCACTGGCTCATGCTCCCCCTTGTCGCTGCCTCTTGGAGTAAGTGACTAGTCGAATTCCTACTCAACTACCCGATAAGCAAAAGCTTATCGGGTAATCGATTAATCGCTTATATCCCTAGTGTGGATGTGGCTACCACAGATATAAAGCGGCTATCAGCAGATTTGCAGGGCTCCACACATGGGGCAATAGCTACTGAATGAGCTTCTAGACCAATCCAGAGTCTCATCACTTTGGCTACGTCTACATTGCACAGTTATTTCGGAATAAGCTATTCCAGAATAGTTATTCTGAAATAGCTTATTTTGAAATAGCACATCTACACTGCAGAGAAACTTCAAAATTAATCCAAGGCAGGCTTCCCTAATGTAGACGTGTTATCTCGATTTCGAGCCCAAGGAGGAATAACTTAGAATGGCCCTGGTGAGGGTCTATTTCAAAATAGCAACACGGGAGCGTCTACACACACCTTATTTCAAAATAGCTATTCAGAATAGGCGTTATTCTTTGCAGAATGAGGTTTACAGAAGTTGGAATAAGCTGTCTGTGATTTTGAAATTATTTCAAAATAATGGAATTCCCGTGTAGATGCTCACATAGTTATTTCGGAATAACAGCCATTATTCCAAAATAACTTTGCTGTGTAGACACACCTTTTCAGGGCATGCTTCAAAACCTCTCTGTGACAATATTTTCCAACTATTGCAGGTTAAAGATGGAGGGAGAGAACACAAATAAAATGCATGGATATCCAAAGCAAAGCCTCCTCTACCAGAGAATGGAAAAGCTAAATACTGCTCCAGTAGCATACTCACCATTTTCTTGTGTAGCTCTTGAATGTTACAATACAAGGTGATAGCCATACAGAAAACCCTTTAGCTACCTATGTAACTGCCCACAGTATTTCTCAATCCTATAATGAAAAGTCAGCAATTTATACACTTTTATTCAGACTCACATTTTTTACATTGTGATCAATCACTTTTTAACACAAGATTCAAGGAATGAGTCTTTCCACCTTGGGAAAAAACCCTGCAAATGAGAAGTTATTTCTTCACATAAAACAGGAACTAGATAATCTAAAATGTGTAAAATCATTAACATGGAAACTCTCCAAATGTTACCATTCAGAGCATCTACTTGAGTTGCTGCATAAAAAATTAGTTCATAAAGTCAATGTTTTAGGTAAAAAAAGTATAAGCCATTTTAAATCAATGCACTTAAAAAAAAGAAAACACTGTGGCTAAAGAAATGTATTCATCCAATTCCTCATCTAGAGAAACTGAAGGCTAAAGATCAAGATCTCATATGCTTGACTTCACGTTGTTGCTAGCCCACTAAATATCTTAATATATATGCTACCAGAAAAGCATACAAAGGGCCACTTCTCTAAACAATCAGTTAGCGAGCATCTACCCTTACTTTCCTTAGCTGTCTATAGAATTTACCGTTAATCAAAAGAAGCAAGAGGCACACACTCCTCTTTCTGACGCAGGAAACACTCCTCCAATACCTTCTCTTTACCCTGTGGAAAGCATCACTACTAAGGATGTTAAGGACTAATCAACTATCTGAGAAGCAAATTCTTATCGGATAGTTGGATAGTGAGTTGACTAGTCGATTCCCCTCCCCCTGCTGCTTCTATCAGATAGGCAGCAAAGGGGGGGGGGGGGGGAGAGGGAGTACTTCAGAGCGGCAGTGCCATACATCTGATCCCGGGATCAGCTGTGCGGCACTGCCGCTTTGAAACACCCAGGCTCAGCTGTGGCGCGCTGTTCCTTTGAAATGCCGCCTTGGTGTTTAAAAGTGGCAGCGCTGTGCAGAGCTCAGGATTCTGGGGAAATGCCACGCAGAACCCGCGGTCAGCTGGGGAGTCCCCAGCTGATCCCCAGTTCTGCTGAAATGCCACGCAGACTTTGGGTTCAGCTGGGGAGTTCCCAGCTGACCCCGGTCTCTGCGTGGCATTTTAAATCAGCAGCGCAGCATGGAGCCCGGGCTCCATGCAGGTGCTTCCACTTTGAAATGCACAAGAGCCCCCGCTGGGGACTCTTGTACATTTCAAAGCTGGCCAGTGTACTGCCCGGAGTCAGCAGGACTTTCCTCTGGCTGCACGTGGAGCCCAGTGGGGGCTTTGTACATTTCAAAGGAGGAATTCGGAAGTGTCAATCGACCACTTAATATCCTTAATCAGTACTGTAATGAAATTAACGAAATCCCCATTTTATTCCCCTTTCGAATAACCAGGGTTTATTCAAGACTAAAAGGGCAAGTTTTTTGGGCAAACCCATTTTTAAAGCATCAGCTACATATTGCTCAATTATCATATCATGTATTATGGTTAAGGAAAGAATCAATTTCAGTTTTATACTCCCTCCATTTTTTTATCTGTATATGTCTCTCAAACGTGCCCTGTAGGAACAATATTTTTCACATTTGTTCTTATTACAAAAGGTGATTTTCCCTCAGACAAGGTCCAGCAAAATTTTAGCTATTTGAACACAAAATTCCAAAAGCAAAGTGAAGTTTTACCTCACATATTCCATTTGGAAATTACACATGGGCAGCTGAATAAATGTGGGGGGTTTATGGATAATAAACAGCTTTTAGATCTAAGGTCCAGAGCAAATTTGAAAGAACTTCATTCAGTAATATTAATTCAGCAGTTTTACATGGGTCTTATTCTCAATTACACTAAGTCTCCTTTTCACCTCACTGGCAGTGAAAAGGGATTGTGAAGTGAATGTAGCGGTAATTTGCTCAGCCAGACAGATGTGAGCCTGATTATCTCTTACAGTAATGGGCCTTACCTTACTATAAGAGTTTAAAGTTGGAAATGTGATGCACATGCCACAGATGGGTCTGGGGTAGGTGGGTTCCTTTATTTTTAAAAGCCTCACTGATGTACAGCCAAAGGTGATTTTATGATTTTAGAGACACTCCCCTCCACCCCCGCTTCAAGCAATGAACTAAAATCTCACAGCAAGCTCCACTGCCACACACTAGGGCTACATCTACAATGCACTTTCCTTGCGCAAAAGCCTATGCAAATGAAGTGCAGATTAGCATATTGCCATGCTTCATCTGCATAATTACTTAGGGGTTGTTTTTGTGCAAGAGGCTTTTGCGAAAAAAGAAGCTGTCTAGATGGCTCCTTTTTGCACAAAAACCCCTCTTGTGCAAGAGTCGTTCTTCCTCATTTTTTGGGAAGAACTGCTCTTGCACAAGGGGGGGAGGGTTGCTCAAAAATGACCCCTCATTGTGCAAATGACGCATGGCAGTATGCTAACCTGCACTTCATTTGCATAGGCTTTTGCGCAAGAGAGGTGCAGTGTAGATGTAGCCCTAGTGTGTGGCAGTGGAGCTCTCTGTGAGATTCTAGCTCATTCCTTGGGGTGGGGGGTAGACGTAGCCTAGGACAACTGGTTGTATTTAGTCAAGTGTAAATGGGGAAAGCACACTTGTGATTCAAGTGACTCCAAGTTCCAGTGTCTTTGGTGGTCATGTGGCCTAGCTTCCCAAAGGGAAAGTTTCTCATGTAGTGTATGAAAAGTAAGCGAAAGCTCGGGAAGATCAAGGCAAACCTGAGGTACAAGAACTTGGCTAGCATGGGCTGACATTACTGACAAAGGTGAGTGTGATAATGTAAGAAATGATCGCAAGGTGTTTAGTCCAGGTCGCTCTCTGTCAGACCCTGGACCCCTGAGGAACCATTAACAAGTTCAAAGTACAGCCTGTTCTGTTCTTACTACTGATGGATGCATTCAAGGTGATTCTGAGCATTAACACGCCTGAGGCTCCTCTGCAAATAGACTTTCCAACATTTTGGTTTTAGAGTCAGGAGTAATAATATTTAATGAGAAATCCTCTCTGCAAGAGGATTATATACACATGATGGACAGGTCTCAAGGGACTGGGAAAATAGGTATTCTTTTGTTCTTCCCATTGAAACACCGTGCTGTTTCCAAGTCACAGAAGTGAAAGAAGAGCAACATTATCTGAGAAACACATTTCTGTTAAACGCATCAATTGAAATCCTTTGTATGTTGCTCCTGAGGGATACTTTGATTGCTGCACAGTACACTGTACGTCACTTTGTTCAAACTGAGTAATTTGCAAAGCTGGGGGAAGGACCTGAGGCTTTGTATTGACCCACAGGAAGAATTATTAACAATATCTGGCATTTGGTGCCATCTAGGGCATACTAAAGGGGAAAACTTGCTCTTCAGATGTTTCTTTATGGGCCAGAGATAAGGCTTCAGCAGCATAAGGCAGACCTGCCATCCACCCAAAACGTGCAGTAGGAAGAGAAAAGAGGAGTGGTCTCTGTAAAGCAGAAAGAGAATGATCCTACTGCATGTAACAGCCATATAGCATGCACGCATTCTGAAAGAATCAAAAAAGCCAGAAAATGTAAAAAATATAGGCCTGAATCATTTTCTCCAAAGGAAAAAACAAAAATAAAAAAACAACAACAGTAGAATGACTGTTTGGGGGAAGGTTCCATGAAGATCTCATGACAAAATTCCTACCACACCATTCTACTAGACAGGCCTGGATGAAGCAAGTTTGTACCCATCACGGGAGGTATGTCTATAGGGCCTGATATATTCCCAGAGACCTGTAGGGAACCATTCCAACTCTCATTTGCCCAGTGCCACAACAATTTTTGTTCTAGAGATGAATACAATCAAGTGTAACTTATATCAATGCTTATAAAACACCTCCCTGGTTTGATGCAGACTCCTAGATAAACTGTAATAAAAAAGAAGAGAATGGCCTGCTTGGCACAACTGAATATCAGATACCTGCACTTGTAGATCCAATTCCTGCAGTAAGCACAGATCGTGGTGTAATCTTTACTGCATATTTGAGAAACTGAGATTTCCCTGTACCAGGGTCTCCAACCAACAAAAGATGTGATTCACCTTGGGAAAAAATAAATACACAACACTTCAGGTTGCATAGGTAGTATACTGACTACTACATTTATAAAGACAGACAAGGCAGACATTTTTAACTAAAATAATTGTAATTCTTCATATAAAATTTACCTCTGAAGATACAATACAATAAATAATTCAGGTGCAAGATTATCACATCTAACATCACTCAGAGATATGACAAAATTGTATAATTCACAATTATGCAATCTAATCATATTGCAGAGTTCAAATTCAATTTTCATTATAAAAGTTCTTTAAAATAATCACATATGCAGCCTTTATAGGATCACCCAGTACCTAGCAGTTTTCATATTTTAATAGACTTGTTTTGCATATACAGGCAGTCCCCGGGTTACGTACAAGATAGGGACTGTAGGTTTGTTCTTAAGTTGAATCTGTATGTAAGCTGGAACTGGCATCCAGATTCAGCCGCTGCTGAAACTGACCAGCGGCTGACTACAGGAAGCCCGAG